GGCTCAAGGTTGACTCAACCCTCTATCCTTCCGAGGTCGGTAAAATGAGTACCCAGCTTGCTGGGGGGTGGGATGTGTAGCCTGCATAATTAACTTGTAAACCACCCAGAGAGTGCCTGAAGTGTTATGGGGCATTATATATATGCAGCACACTTTGCTTTGCTTTTGCTTTGCTTGTACAGTGGTGCCTCGCTTAGTGACATTAATCCGTTCCAGAAAAAACATTGCTAAGTGTGACATTTTCATTGCTAAGCGATATTAAAAAGACCATAGAAACGCTTTAAAATGCTATTAATGTGTTCCTATGGGCTAAAAACTAACCTTTAGGTGAAGATCCTCCATAGGGGTGGCCATTTTCGGTGCCTCTAAAGCGAGGAGACACAGCGAGCATCCATTCTGTTTTCCCGGCGGCCATTTTGAAACTGCCGATCAGCTGTTTAAAAAGGGTCGCTTTGCCATGATTGCTTCCCCATGATCATCGCAAAGCGAAAAAAAACCCATAGGGACCATTGCAAAGCGATCGCTTTTGTGGTCGCAAAAACTCCGTCGCTAAGCGATCTTGTCGCTCAACGGAGCGATCACTAAGCGAGGCACCACTATACAGTATAATGAATAAAGCTCTCTCTCAAAACAAAAGAAAAGAAAAGAAAACTCAGCAGGCAAGAAACAGAAGTTACCAAGAAAGTTAGCATTTCTGAAATATCTTTATCGTGGTTTGATGACCCGGTAAGTATTGGGCACTAGTTTGACGACGTGGTTGTGTGAGATCAATAGAGTTGCCAGCCATCTTTTCTGAGATTCCCAGAATGCTTTCCAGCATCATAGAAAAGCTAACAAAGTTCCCGGTGTTTTTTCTGCTAGATTTGTCAACCTTCTCCAAAATGGTGGTCTTAGGATGCACTCGACAGTAACTCTGATCAGTGTCAAAGTTATTACCTCAGATCCCACCTTGCTGTTGAACTGGTCAGTTGAAGATGATGCAAGTTGAAGCTCAACATATATGGAGCATGACAAGAATAAGGTGGTGTCCCCTCTGTTTATATATCTTTTAATTCACTTATCAGACTTGCATGCCAGCTTTTTTCCTCAGAATTGGGTTCAGGAAAGCTCACAGCAAGAGAGAACAAAGCGTAATCAAAACTCAAACAAATGCAAATATTAACATAGATTAGAAACATAAACGTGGAGCCTGTTACTTTATTTACATATGCAGATACTGCTGCCTTGGTCTCTCAGGGCATCCCCTGCTCATGATCCTAAACTTGTTCATGAAGGCTCAGGCATGTGAACATGTGCAATTTGTCAGATCACCATGGCAGATGCCATCCAGCATATGCAGATTTTAAACTGGCCATGGCCATAACGTTAAAGCATGAAAAAAATATTCAGCCACTGCACTAAAAACAAAAAGTGTTACCCCAAATCAGTAGGGACTTTCATCATTTGGGAGTGGCAACCAAAAAGTTTCTATACTTTTGTTACTACCTTATTGTCCTTACCATCCCATATATAAAAGTCAACTGTGCAATGAGTTTACTCTTTTTTTCATCACAGACAACTATTCGATTCCTTAAAAAGGAAAATGCTGCTTTATGAATGTGGGATATTGTGTTTCTGTATCCATCATTCAAAAGCCAGGGCAGGGCCCAATATTGTTGCACAATATCATGCCCAGGTTGCCAGCTGGAAAAAAACAGTGCCAAGCTTTACATAGCAAAGGCCAGCCTGAATGTTGACAACACCAGTGGCAGCAGTCAAGATGGTCTACAGGATACCCTCTTCTGCTCACGACTATTATCACTTGTTGAAAACCAGCCCTGAGAATTGCTTGTTGTTTGGGTGAGAAGTGGTTAAATTTTGCAAAGATTGTCAGCTTTTGGGATTTTCCCTTGTGTGGTGTCACTTTGTAAATAGTAGTGAACAGAAGAGCGGGCAGCTTGTAGACCCTCTTGACTGCTGCCATTGGTGTTGTCAACATGCAGTCGAGATTTCCCCAAGCAAAAACCAGCCTTTCATTTTATAAACTGTTTGCCCTTGTGTTTCCACTGAATTGTGGAACGGTTACTCCATAACGATTCATAAGTGTTCTTCTTAGCTCCACCTAGAGGCCTGACACGTTTGTAGCATGTCGAGGACACTGGAAACCAGTAAGACCTGCTCACAAGACCCAATTTCCATTTCTCATCATGTGCAAGGTTCGCCCTCACCATCCCATGGCAATCTTCCCAAACGTGGAATCCTTAGATGGACTGGATTACACCTCCCATCATCCTTTCTCCATCTAAGCATGAGATGGAGAGCAATAGTCCAGTCTCTTTGGAAGTGTTGTGATGCTGTTTTTTTTCCTTGTCTGTTGACTGTACAGTCTGTTCTCTTTGGAAGTTTTGTGATGCTGTTTTTTTCCTTGTCTCTTGACTCAGCAGTCTGTCCAGCACACACAACTGTCATCCAATATCATTGTACGTCCTTCCTTTGCACAAAGTGAAATGACTACTAACTCCTCCTTGGGCTTCGCTCCCTCCTACAGGAAAAACACGTAGTCAAATCAAGGATTTCACACACATCTGAAGAGCTTCTTTGTCTAGCTGAAGTATGCTGGTGCCCTCTTGTGTTTGTGATGTCTTCTACAGACTCAACATCAGCATAGTCCCGTCGTTTATATTATATCATGAGAACTCAAGTCAGATCTCATTTATGACAATCCTAGGAAGATTTATGAGGCACCTGAGATGTTTAAGGAGTGGTTTTTCCAGTCCTCGACCCTACAAGTTTCCATGACTCAGGAAGGATTTGAACCCAGGTTCTCCCAAGTCCCACCCTAACACCCTATCCACTACAATATATGGGCTGTCTCTATAGATTGGGGGAGAAAAGATAGAAATCTCGAACCTCCTTGTAGATCCCTGAGGGCTTTATGGTAAACTCAAAATGATTTCTCACTTTCAGTGGTTTAGCAGTAATGGCTCTACCCTGCTCTAAACAGTATAATTGTAATAAATAAAATGTGTCCTGAATTCTGAACGGAATTCACCTGATTCAGATCAATCTATATGAGTCCAGATCGAAGCTAGATTTGGGTCTAAGGTGAAGCAATGTGAATGTAGGACGTCGACTGATCTTTGAAGAAATTGCTGTGGTCTAAATCATGACATGATGTCATGCCATGCGTTATTGTTCATCTAAGGTTGTATTTACCTACTTTTCAGACCTACTAAAGACCAGATGATTTTTATTATGTCCTGATATGTAAAACCACAGAATTCTAAGTGGGTGTACTTTTTATTCACGTGACTATATGTAGAACCACACATTCCACACACATGCATCAAGCCAATACATTGACTCCCCGGAGTGAGGAAATGCCCAAAATGATATTCCTGTAGAAGAGAACTGTCGATACAAGCCTTAGAAGAAGTATCGCTTCCCCCAACAAAAGATCTCTATAACAAAACAAAAAAAGCCTGGAAAAATAACTTTGTTGAACTACAACTCCTAGAACTTCTTAGCCAGTATGAGAAGTGTTTGTGCTAGCTGCGGATTCTTGGAACTATTGTGCCCAATGATCAAATAACTCATCCAAGCTTATTTAATTATTTAAAATATTTTTACCCCACTTTTCTCCTTAAAAGGACCCAAGACGGCTTACAACAATGAAAAATAATGTTTGAATGTATTCTCGAAGGCTTTCATGACCAGGATCCAATGGTTGTTATAGGTTTTTCTGGGTGTTTGGATGTGTTCTGGAGGTTTTTCTTCCAAACGTTTCACCAGTCTCTGTGGCCGGCATCTTCGGAGGACAGGAGTTAG